TCTGGAGCGCACCATTGGGAAAATGGGAGACAGCAAGACACTGCCGGTGAGTTGTTGTACAGTCTCTGGCGTGGCCCTTGAAACAGCCGCTTCTGTGCACTCTCGCCGTCGGTTCGAAATATGAACATGGCGATAATTTCATGATGGTCCTTTTTCACTCAAGCTCTATTATCTCATTGGAGTTAAATAAGTTAATGCGTACTGTACCAATAACCTCATTGGCCGAATACTTATTTGCTATTATCCGCTAACGTCTAATGTGGTTTAAGGTATATGAACGTAAACTTGCGCCGCTCCCGCATGTAGGCTAGATTTTTATATATGAGGTTCAAAGGCTGAACCGCTGAGCGTCAATCACTGACTGACCGTTCCTCGCGTCTATCCCGGCTCGGTACCTCCCAGGTGAGGTGGCCTGGCGTCTGTACGACACGTACGGCTTCCCCGTGGACCTGACGTCGCTGATGGGCGAGGAACGCGGCCTGAAGATCGACATGGATGCGTACGAGGCCGCCAGGAAACAGGCTCAGGTCAGTTGTGGAGTATGATGTCCCTCTCTCAGTGTCTTGTGGTTGTTAGAGCTAAATGCGGAGTGGGGACTCGGAATTTGGGGTGATGACGGTTGGATTAATTGATTTCGTGCTGTTTACGATATAAATTTGGATGCTTGAATGTATTTCTGATAACCATGGAGAAGTGCAAAGCATTAATGGTTGAGCAACAGCTATAATGGTTTATTTATACGCAGAATGTTAATTTGCGTTTAGGTTTATGACCGTCTTTCCTTATTCCTCTGGAACTGACCGGCGCCTCTCGGCGTCCCCACAGCTGATTTCTCAGGGCGGCGGTAAGGGCGTGGACGACCAGATTAACCTGGACGTGCATGCCATCGCGGACCTGCAGGGCCGCGGTGTACCGCCCACCGACGACTCGCCAAAGTACGACTACAGCGCCGCGTCGGCCGACCCCGACTCTGTCTACGGTATATGCTGGGGAGAGCGGAGAAGGGTGAGAGGGACGGGATGGCAGAGAGTCGGGGAGGGGGGTGGGGTGGAGAGCGGGGCGAGCTGGTGGGACGTAGGTTACGAGCTGGTGGGACGTGGGACCCTCCCTTCTTTGTCCCGGTGTGACTGGATCGGACCTCTGCGTTCGCGTCACTGTTCAGGAGACGGAGTTCACGGTGAAAAGCGTGAATGGTGCCCTAATGGGCTTGGTACTACTGTTTTCGGTTTACTTTTTGATTTGGGACCTGACGTGGAATGTAAAGATTTATCTGCATATTTCTTGTCGTTTGTACTGTCTCTGTAGGGGTCTCACAGTTTGGCTTCAACTTAGAATCTGTGCGACTCCCCATACATTGGCCATGTCACACGCTGGCACTCTCTAGTGGCCCACCCAGTCATACCCCACTCACCGTTCCCTTTCCGTCCTCGGGCAGAATTCGGCACGTGCCAGGGTCGCGTGGTGGCACTGCGCTGCGACAAACAGTTTGTCCAGGAGGTGCCGTCGGGCCGCGAGTGCGGTATTCTACTCGACCGGACCTCCATGTACGCTGAACAGGGTGGCCAGATCTGGGACGAGGGGTATATGACCAAGGAGGGCGACGAGGTGAGATAATGGACGGGCGTGGGGCGGGCGGGCGTGGGCCCTGCTTCGTTCCGGATCGTGGAGCTTGGCTTAATTTCAGTTCAGTTTCTGTTTTGATTTGTTCATCTTTCAGGTCATTGATTCGCTCATGCAGATTCATTGACATTCAGCTCTTTGGTGTACTCTTTAAATGATTTTTTGCCGCTTAACTTTGTATATCGTTAGTATACACGATTCTGTCGTGTATCCATTAAAATCCCCTTCTGAACTCGGGCAATCCGACCCCCTCTCCGTAAACCCTACACGCGGTCCTTTCTAGTCCGAAGTAACCCAATCCAACCTATATTTGAGTTTGTTTCCAGTCATGGACTCCCTCAGGACCTGTCTGATCCCCTGATCTTTATATCATTCCCTTTTGCCGTTGTGTGACCCGATCTGACCCCTGTGCCCGTGTCACCGTTCAGGAGACGGAGTTCACGGTGAAGAATGTCCAGGTTCGCGGCGGTTACGTGCTCCACATCGGCTCCCTGGCTGGAACGCTGCGCGTCGGGGACACCCTGAACGTGTTCATTGACCAGGTGAGATGCCGGTGGTGGTGGTGGCGGCGGGGATGCATAGTGGGCTGATCGGAGATTCACTATGCGAAACTTGTGAATAAAACTCCTATCATTCAGGCAATGTCATAGCATTACTGACCTGATGATCTTTTCACTGGACGATGGTATCGTCAGTTAAAATTTACTTGTGTTCTGGAACGACGGAGGTATATAGTCACTAGCCAACAAACTTTCTCTTCTGCCCCGTGTAGCCCATAATGTCCAATGACCCTCCCCCCAACCCCCTCGACGCCAACAGGAGCGTCGTAAGCAGGTGATGAACAATCACACTGGTACTCACGTGCTCAACTTTGCGCTGCGACGAGTGCTGACGTCGGAGGCGGATCAGCGCGGCTCCCTGGTGGCCCCCGACAGGCTGCGGTTCGACTTCACCAGCAATGTGAGCAGGGGAAAATGCAGTGAAAATTAACAGTGGTATTTATGCATCATTCTGGGTCAAATTGGAGGGTAGGCAACGTTGGAAAGGATGATTGAGATACCTATTTTATTCATAAGATTTATTATGAATACGATTACATAATACGACGTTATGTTCCTCAGTAATAGTTCTTACTTCAGTTAAAGAGATATTCCTTTTTGTTCGATATTCCTGGTTCACCTTTGATTGTGATTACCGCATCCGTTTTGTTTCCTTGTTTGTACTATAGACCGTAAGCCTCCTTGTCGCCTCAGTAGTCAGTACTCTTACTTTAGTAAGCTTCCCCATTACACATGAGCGAACTGTTAAAGTATATCTCACACCGTTCTCGTACTCCGCACACAGAGCGCCATGAAGTCGGACCAGGTGAAGCAGTGTGAACAGATCGCCAACGACCTCATCTCGCGTAACGGCGAGGTGTTCGCCAAGGAGTCGCCGCTGGCGCTGGCCAAGTCGATCCAGGGCCTGCGGGCCGTGTTCGACGAGACCTACCCGGACCCCGTGCGGGTCGTCTCCATCGGTGGGTGATGGAAGGGGGGCAGGGGCGGGAATGGGACAGCTTGATGTTACGACGTTTATGGTGTGAAGTGTGGTGTTTAATCGCCAGGTTGTTCTGTTATCTTTATGGCCGGCTTGTAGCCACCCAACATGGGGTAATTCAGAGTTCTGTGACTGTGATGAACCCCGAGTGTGACCTCTGACCCATATTGTAACCCCTACCCTGTCCCCTCCCGACTCTGGCCGTGACCCGTAACCCTCCTCTCCCCAGGTGTGCCGGTGGAGGACCTGCAGGCCGACCCGAGCGGTCCGGCGGCCACCCAGACCTCGGTGGAGTTCTGCGGCGGCACCCATCTCCGACGCGCCGGCCACATCGGACCGTTTGTCATCGCCTCGGAGGAGGCCATCGCTAAGGGCATCCGACGGATCGTGGCGCTCACTGGACCTGAGGCCACCAAGGTACGGGATGCGGGGATGGGCGTGGGACCTCCGAGGGCAGGGGTAGCAGTTATGAAATGCAGGGATGCGGAGCCGGAGCCGGAGCCGTGAAACAATATAGCCCGGAGCCGGAGCCGTCAAAGAAGCGGGCGACTCCGGCTCTTTTTTTTGAAGAGGAAAAAATTAATTGACCTGGTTGGGTTTGACACTACAAGGCAGTAAACCATGTGTTACGTCATGGGCCATCACGTGAATGAAAAAAGCTGAATACGTATCGCCAGTGTCCCACTGTACGCAATCAACCTCCTGTCTGCTCCTCCCTCCCCACGTCTACTGCACCCCCAGAACCTGAGGACCGGTCACCAGGTGACGGCCATTGTTTTGGCCACCCGTATTTAATTGATCGCATATGAGATGTACAGGTCTCGCGAGATTAAGCGGTAGGTTTTGCACTTTTACATTTCCGGTTATATCTCAGAAACTAATCGATCTACGATGAAGCCATTTTACACGATCATGGCTGGCTTGTTACCCAACAAGTCGATCGCATCTTCAACACTTAAAAGCTTAAGACGGCGAAGATATAGCCTGAAGTACACTAAATTTTCTAGGTGCAAAACCTACCGCTAAAACCCGCGAGACCTGTACATGCATACTGAGTTGGAGCCGGAGCCGAAGCCGGAACCGCCAAGACATTTCACCCGGAGCCGGAGCCGGAGCCGTCCGAAATTTCCACGGCTCCGCATCCCTGATGAAATGTTACTAGACCACCAGGCATGAAATGTGTGTGTGTGTGTGGTAGGCAGCCTGGAAATGTTATACATGAGACGGACTTGTGACAGGATTTATTTTCTGCAAGAATATCTTCTTTTTTACTTTGATTTTCACTGCTTCGCCTACCACAGCGTCCGTTCGCGCATCCCACAGTCTGATCCGACTGCCTTCATCTAACCGACCCATCTCCTCGTCTGGCGCAGGCGCTGCACCGTTCCGCCGCCCTGGAGAACCAGCTGAACGTGTTGTCCGAACAGCTGAACGACCCGCAGCTCTCCAGCAAGGAACTCGTCAGGCGCATAGTGGAGCTGACCGACGAGATCTCACAGGCCACCATCCAGCAGTGGAAGAAGGTGGGAATCGGCTACAGTTGAGATGGGGAGGGTGAACTGAGGCTAAAGGCTAAACTGAACTGAGACTAAACTAGGTGGATGTCTAGGAAGGCTGGAGTGACCGCACTGATTCCGTACAGTGGGTTGTGTCGTGATGAGCTTGTTTCCTTACTCAGCATTTCACTGCTTTACAGTTTCACCCTTACTACCGCTTATTAGCTTTGTATCCCACTTTTTACTGTCGATTTATGACCGAATCAATATTCTACTTATTTTGACTGCAGCTTATTAAAATCTTCCACCAACGTGTGTACTTGTACTGCTCAAATTGGCAAGATAAACATCAAGTAGGCATTTCGCTCACCAACAATATTTAAGACTCCAACTCTCCACAAAAGTGTTTTGGTTTTTCGACCCGACCCGGTACCGGCTGCTACTGGATACAGTCATGTGTACGCCCTGACGACAGCCTTTCCTCCGCCTACAGGACCAGCTGCGTGCCGAGCTGACTAAGATGAAGAAGCAGTTGGACGACAAGGACAAGGCGAGGAAGGCGGCCGTCATGACCTCGGTGGTGGAGGAGACGAAGGCGTTCGTCACCGCCAACAAGGAGCTGCCCTGGATCGTGCGCCGGCTGGAGGCCTACTCAAACACAAAGGTGAGCACGACAGACACTGGTCTGCTCTGCTAGCTATGTTGCTTAGCTAGTTAGATGTTCACTTGTTGGACTCAGGCAGGGTTGCACTGAGGTCTGAGACTTGTGTTATGTTTCAAGCTGAATGGCCGTCAGCGTCCCGCTTGTTCCGTCGAGGCTAGCTCAAAAGCCTCTGCGCCAGTTATTCGTACGCCGCTCGCCGGTCGTCCTCACCGGGACAAAGAGTCCTCCCCTGACGTGACCTTTTTGTGCCCTTAGGCGCTGGATGCTGCCCTGAAGCAGGTGAAGGCCATCGCGCCTGAGATGTCGGCCCTGTTCCTCTCTGTGGACGAGGATGCGGGGAAGGTCGTATGTCTGAGCGCTGTGTCAAAGGTAAGATCCTGTGGGTTGTGAGCTATGGTCGTAGTGCGATCTAGTGCTGAAAATATAAGGTTTTAGGGGTGAGTCACCTTGGATCTGTGTGATTATTGGCTTACCTGCTAAGATATTTTATCCCGCTGAGTTTCAAATTGATTTGAATACTCTTGGTGGTAAGGCTGTTCTTTGTCCTACGGGGTACTCCTGTGTTATTTAGTCGTGATCCGTAGTTCGCTGTCATGCCTGTGTCCTGTTCTGTCCTGTCGTCCCTTGCTCAGTGGTGACGCTGCCCGCCCGCCCCACAGCCGGCGCTGGCGGCCGGTCTGAAGGCCAACGAGTGGGTGACCAAGCTGACCGAGCTAATGGGCGGCCGAGGAGGCGGAAAGCCCGAGTCAGCTCAGGCAGCCGGCACCAACGTCACCGCCGCCGAGGCCTGTCTGGAGGCGGCCAGACAGCACGCGCGCACCACGCTCGGACAGGACAGCCAGCCCGTCGAAGTCCAGGTGAGACCGGTTGGATAGGCTTTTGGGTATGGGACGTAAGACGGGAGAGAGAGAGAGGATCTGTTAGGTCCTGAGGAGACAGGACAGAGGGGGCTGATGGGTAAACAAGTCAAACGGAACGTCGGTGAGGTGGGACGCCAGTTCGACGGAAGAGGTGCTGAGGCGTGAGTTTGAATGGGGAGGTGGGTCAGTAACTAAAGGTGGGATGCTGAGCTCTGGTCGAGTCGGATGTGGGGTGAGGGTCGGGAACAAGGATCCGTATGACGTGGATTTTTTAGGGAAATCAATGCAGATGATATGTCGTTTTTAGTTTGTCGGCGCTGTTTAGTCTATGTATACTGTGTAGTTTTTACCTTGCATGTTTCAACTTTTTACTTCGCGTTTAACAACAACCTGATCGGTTCTTCGCAGGTACCCACTGCCAGTAACGCTGCCCCGTCGCCAGCCTCCAAGACTGCCAAACCCTCCAAGGCAAGTGCCAAGTCTTCCTCCAAGTCACCGGCCGCCAGTTCCGCGGTGCCCAGCTCAGGCCCGGTACTGTTCTGCGGCTCAGGCGACCCGCGCGCGCTGCTCTGCCATATCGCCGCCGGCTACTCGGGCCTCTCTCTGCCGGTGACGGAGGCGCCGGCGCCGGACGCGGTCCCGCTCGGTCGCCGTCCGACGCTGCGCACCGCCGACGGCACGCTGATCTGGGACGCCGCGGCGGCCGCGCTGCACCTGGCGCCGGCTCAGCTGCGCGGCGGCGCCGACCCGGCCTCGGAGGCGGCCGTGCTGGCCGCGCTCTTCCAGGCGGACGAGCTGCGCCAGCTGGTAGCCGGCTGGCTGGCGGCGGGCGCGCCGGCGCAGCAGTCCGCCGCCAGCCGCCAGGCGGTCGAACAGTGGCTGGAGCGGCTGGACACCGTGCTGCGAGACCGCACCTACCTGGTGGGCGAGCGGGTGACGCTGGCAGACCTGGCGCTCAGCTGCGCGCTGCTGCCCGCCTTCACTGGAGGTCTGGACGGTCGGCAGCGGGCGCGGCTCGTCTGTGTTACCCGCTGGTTCCGCACCGTGGTCCACCAGCCGCCGGCCGCCGCGATACTCGGCGAGGTGAAACTCCACGAGTAGGCCCGACCGCCCGGCCGCTCACCGGTGGGTTATTTATTGTTTCGGCCGGTGAGAGGGCCGTTCGGGATGGTCAGCTCTCCAGCGCTGCGGTAGGTGGACCGCCCGGTCCCCTCTCATTGCCCACACGCTCAGAGCGCACTGTGGTGGGCCTGTCTAAAGGTGATAGCATTGCGTCCCGGTTTTGGAAAATGAATTTTGAACGACATGCTTGTGGCCTGGTAGTTTGTTACGTGGGGAGCGAAGGTGGTGGATGTCCCGGGTGCTTTACGAGCGATGATGTTATCTGGTATTAAGACACTAAGTGCAATTAATTATTTGCGTATGACTTAGTGATAAACGCCGAAATGGTTCAAAGTTCAGTATTGTGGAGGGAACAAATGCTGCCTACGCCGTATAAATTGCCAATATAGCGAAATGCTACATAACTCTGATTTCCGCTGTTTACCATAAAAGTTCTACTTTGCAACTCAGTATGGTACTCCTTTACTACCTGATTTGGAATGTGCATAACCAATGTTGCCACTTACATAGGTACAAGGTTTAGCTCAATTCGATATTTTTATCGGCAGGGATTTTCATTGATCTGTAAAATACATATTGCAAGTCGCTGAATGAAGGGAAGCTTCAGAGCAGGATTGACACGCGCACGATGAGGCGGTGCCTTTGGCTCACAAAGGGTCTGGCAGGCTAAACAAAAAACTGAAGGGCATACGCAGGCGACGCTGGTATAATTTGGATGTTTCAACAACGCACCAGAGGCGAGAGAGGTGCACGCTGCGTTGCAATGAAGAATTGAGCATAATTATGCCGAGTGTGGTGAGAGAATAAGTCACAGGGCCCGCCCGAATCGAGAGGGGATGCTCCGTCACATGGGAGGGCTTGTGATCAGAGGTAGAGGGGCGTGTCGTGTTTACTTTGGACATCGACATTGGTTTGTAGGGGTAGTGACTTGTTTCGCTGGTTAGCTAGGTTCTGGCCTTATCAACACCCGCAGGATGAGGAAGGGTGTCGCCAGGAGCGACGGTCGCGCCGAAGCACGAAGTAGCAGCCGCAGTGTCAGCCCAGGTTTTTATGCACGTGACTCCTTGATCCTAGGTGTCATCGGGGACGAATTTCAGCCATCTCTCATTTCAGAGGTCCTCGCTTGGTCCCCGGCCCCGTCCATACCAGTGCCGGTCTTTCATGAACGGGGACATCGCTACTATTCAAACCGACACAGCCATCATTTCACCATGGTGCTTCTTATACAGCGATCAATATATCGACCAGAACGTTGATGAATGAAAAAGAGTTGTATTGTAATATGTACAGTATGGAATTGAACATGGAACAACAGTGAAACTCGCCGCTTAGCACCGGAAATAAGCACGAGAATGGCTATCGGCATACAACGCAATATCACAAGCTGAGGCCGGTCACCCCTGCCGGAACAGTGCGTCAAGTCTATTAAAATTGAAAACTTGTAACATGAATTCTAAGTGCTATAAAGGCATGGCAATACCAAATGTCTGTTTTCGCCTGAATACACTAAAACATACTACGGCGGCACCCGCGGCCCGGCCGATAACGAAAACGGTGTCGCTTAGTATATATCCGTTATCTATGAGTGCACTAATGCCCGGGAGTGTGCGGATGTGCGATCCTCCACCCCCGGTGCAGAGTGGGCCGACGGCGACGGTCGGCGCTGCTTGAAACGCAGCCTGGCCGCCGCCGCCGCTGAAGCGTGGGTGCGCGGTCGAGTCGCCGCTGGAATGTGCCGTCGCCCGGCCGGGCAGCTTTCTGCCTATGTTGAGCGTCGGCGCGCGGTCGGCGCCGCGCCACGCCGCGCGCGCTATTGCTGCACCGCGCCCGGAGCGCGCCCGCGCCGCAGTATCACAAGCGGCGCGTCCGGCAGCCAGCCGTATCACCAGTGGCGCCGGCGGCCGTCACACGCGTCACGTGCCGCGTGACGGACCACCAACACGGGTGTAACAAGTATATAACACTTCCACCGCGATGGGCGGCGCAGTGGGAGACCGCAGTCCGGGCGGTCCGCGCCGCCAGCTCCGAGCCGCCGGCCGGCCGGCCGCCTACTCTTTCACTAGGGGACCGGGCGCGGCGGAGGACCGGCCGAGTCGGCAGAGCAGTGACACGCGTACAAAACTGTGAGGGGAGATTGAGCGGTGTGTTGCCGTCGGGGCGCCGGGCCTGCACTGGGGAACACCCGGAGCACCGGAGCACCCGGAACACGGGACGTCGGAGCACGACCCAACACTTGAGGACACCGACAGCCGACCGCCAGTTCGTTGTTAACACCGGGCCTGAAACAGAAGAGAAGAGGATGTTAGAACGAGCGAGAACGGTGGAGCTGCTGCATGCAAACGTGGGCCGATGTGATTGTGTGAATAAAATCACAGACGTCGAGACAGCACCAAATTGCAAAATTTATCGATGCGTTAATTTTGAATCAATGGGCCTTATCAATAATTGCGAACAAGCCTGGGTGGCCAACTGAGCGCTGTCCGTTTGCTGAAAACGGTTCAGAGTAGGCCGGTTTGATCGTTAGCCGATCGCGGTCCGTATCTCTGCGGCCGCTATTTTATAGAGCCATTTCGGGTTTTCCGGGAAGGCCGGCCTATAAACCGCAGAGTCGATCCGGGGTATGAGGAGTTTTGGGCTCGGCAGTCCGGAAACTCATTCTCACGGCCTGGGACCGAGGCGGCAGCCGAAGCTGGTCGTCTATGTAGAGACTAGAGAAGGTCCAGGCCATCTCCTAAACTTGCAGGCGGGCTCTGAGTCGTTTCGCCGCCTTACGTCAGCTAGAGTGTTATGCTATCACTAAGAATGCTCGAGTAGGTTCGCGTGTACCTACATTGTGCGATGTACATTGTGCATTATGTATCCTGTGTTGGTGACGTTCAGATAGCCCGGAACGCCGACGGGGTGATCTTTGGATGAGGTTCGTTGACCTACGGTAGGTAGTATAGGCGATTTTAAATGTTACTGGAGAAAACTTTCCGAACGGGGGAATCCATGGAATCCGAATACAAACGCAGTTCCAACGCGAATTCCACGATCGTCTGTAAAATGAATTTAACGTGAGATACTTCTCACGTTTTACTATCACAAAAAGACGGCCCACGATGAAGAGTTTGACGCTCAGGTCAAACGGTTCAAGGAAGCAGGAAGGGTACCTACAGCCACTGCCCCTCTGGGCGTTCTGAGAATGCCGGCCGGAACATCGACACGAGGTACGAGTGTTACTGACGAACTGAGAACGGTTGGAACGGCCGGCTTCACGGAATTTATACGACAGTAGGCGTCATGTCCGGTTGAGTTGTGCATTCACAGGTGTTCAGATTACGTGCCGGGACAGCTTCTAAAGACAATGGAAATTGTGTTCGCCGACGTAAAAAATGCAAATGTCATAAAACAGAACTAAATGGAAACGGAGGACAACTTCGAACTCAAATTGAGAACATTTCCTTGACCGCTGACCTTCCGCTTAACTATAGGCGTCTAAGAAGAACCACGGATGCACGGGAGCCACGCTACCTGTAGTTACCATCGGTAACCACTATCAGATCATATACCTACCCATCGGTTGGTAACCAGTCTCAGGAGCGGGTAACCACCGGTAACCACCGGGTTACCACCGGCACTGAACTCCCGCGGGCTCCGATAATCCCATCTCCAGTGAGACTGTCGGACAGTACCTATCCCGTAATAGGGATTGATTACGGCCGCTCCAATCGATACGCCGCAAGGTCAGCCGGAAACAAAGGACGCTGCAGGGCGAAACGGTGGTGGGCAAAAGTGAGCTATCATGCAGTGTAACCGTCCCACATATTCATACGCGCGATGAGCAGGCAAAGGCAGAACGAGGAACCATTGCGATCGTTCATTTCCGTGCGAATGCTTCTTCGTCCTTTTCCATCCATTTTCACTTCTCGTCAGCAGTGCTTTACAGCCGCCCTCTTCTATACGAACTGCCGGTCCCATATTGTTCATGCACGTAGCACATGACCCGACCGGGAGTTTACTGCTCCAGCCCGTCAGTCTCCGCCATAGCGTATATATGGGCCTTGGCCCCAGGCAACCCTGGCACTGGCACGGCTGCCTCTGCCGAGCGCTTTTGGCGCGGCCTTCATTGGCACATGCCCGGCCCGGGTGCGCGACAACCGGCGCAAAAAGCCGGAACATGGCATCTGGGTCAGTGGGCCGCCGACGGCCTCCGAGGCAGATCCTCACCGACACGGGCCGATACCGGCGGAAAAACACGACGATATGTCACCATTTACACGCCGGCCAGACCCATTCGTTAGATCTGGCGCTCTTGTCGGCACGGCCGCGGATAACTTCATCTGGCAGCCGCGCGGCGACGCTGGTGACGGCTGCCAGACGGGCCTGTTGCGTGTTGACTGTTTATCTCCGGCAGGCGCGGAGGGACGATGGAGCGTGAACGGTGCCGGGGTGTAGTGTAGGTAAGGGGAGCACGCGGCGTAACCGAGCCGCCGCCTGGGGGAAAGACGGGACAGTGAGGAGAGCGGCCGCTTAGGGATACGTGAGACGGGGCGGCGGGCGCGAGCCGCTCCACGCTCAGCGACCTGTCGGCAGATAGACGTAGAATAGACAGACTGAAAAACGGAACGAAGATGATGCAATGTAGACGGACAACAGCGCTTGCTACAGCGGACGGCGCTTGGGAAGGTCTACGGTCCTCATGAGCATAAGAACACTGAACAATAAACTACATGTTACCCAACGAGTTGCGTTCTCAGTGACGAAGCTCAGCACTCGTGGATCAAGCATGGACGCATCTTGGAGGTCATGAGACTATGATCACGACAGTCGGACCAGCTAGTGAGGAACCAGGACCAATGACAACCGAATAGCTAAGAGAGAAATGACAGCCGTTCCGCACCATTAGCCCACGCGGAGGAGGACCAATCGATTTGTCACTATAATTCACACATCGTCTGATGCTATATACGGATCTATTATGGAGAGTTTTATCGGTCTCGCAGCTACTCTTCAGTAGCCACTCATCGCGAAAGCGATCGCTGTCTGCAGTTTTGAGATTATGCCGCCCTGCTTGTTGTAAAAATGTGCCGTTTTGTTAGCTACAGGTAACACATTTGTATGATGTGTTCTTTCATGTAGAAGGCCATTCATTCAATCACCCATTCGTTTGTTCGTTCCGCACAACAAAATCCTCGAGGACTGTTGCCGCATAGAAGCAGCACATTCACTACATTTCTGTCGCTAGATGGCAGGAGTGACAGGCGCCGTAAGTTAGGCTGTCCCGCAATACTTTAATATCTCGCTCACAGATGGCGTTGCTGTAAGACGCCTGAACATAGGCTGTGCCGCACGGCAGAGTTTCGTCTTGCCCGACGTAGCTGGGGCTTGCATCCTTTGTCGAGTTATATGTCTGAGTTTTGTTTCGAGCTATAAGTTAGGTACCTATACCTAATACCTATATCATAGAAATATGGGGCAAATGTCAATGCTACGTTATCAATGCTACGTTATCTATGTATGACAATCATTTGGTCAGCTAAGCAGCAGGACATTGAACTCTAATGCCTATAGTCTTCTTAAATCGTTCAAGAGCGCATAACTCGAACCCTTCCGGATGGGATTGGATACATCAGAAGTCAAGACGTCCAATCAAATGCTAGAAACAGCTTGCATTACGCTAAGGACAGCCACAACCCGAGCTTGTGATGCACGGAAATTCACTGAACGTGAATATACAACTTCCCCATGTGATCCCCAGGTTCCCCATGATAGTTCACCTGGTACTTCAGAGGCACGTTGGGTAATCTCGTGCTGTCTTCAACTAAATTTGCTTTGGTTTGCAAATCTCCTCAACGGTTTATGTGCATACTGCATATCATACATCTCTTTCGGGCGGCCCTGCTCGCCACCAGTCGCTTTGAGCCCAGAGTTCTCTCTGTGTCGGCCATCTTGGCCCAAACCGAGCTCCAGCAGCACCGCGGGCGGCGCGGGGTGGCCGCTCTCGGCTCCATGCCTCCGAGGTCAGGCACCATCGGTCAGCGTCGCCGGCGGCGGCGGCCCGGCTGCAATATCGCCGACTGCTCCACAGCGCGCGGCGTATCGATGGCCGACGGCTGAAATTTATCGCCGAAGACTGCCGGCCAATAGCCGAGAGTGAGTGGCGCCCTGAAAGAAGCGTCCGCCGCCCCCGCCGGCGGCTGCTGCTCGTTTGGGGTGGCTCAGAGTGGAGGGCAGTGACGCCGGGGCCGGCGGCGACCCCTCCCGCGGCCGTCGGTCGTAGGGAGAGGGGGTGAGCCCGGGCTTTGAGGACCCAGCGAGCAGACCTCGTGGCTCGTCTGAGGGATCGTGTTGCCGCTCGACCTTGACCCTGTCGGTGCGGTCGGCCTCGACAGGTCACGGACGGTGAGAAGTGATCATGCGAGGTTAGCATCCGCTCTGTCCAACCCACCCCGACCTAGGCTGGCGGGCAGTGTGAGTGGCGGAGACATCTGATCACTGCAGTTCCTCGTACCGGTCATGGTCGTCAGCCGACACACTGCAGATCACGCTCACAATCTGAACGGTGCATTCATCATTGAAAGCTGTATCGTGAATTGAGCCCGGTCGATATACAGTTGCCATGGCAACCGGGTGCCGTGAGGATCAATGTGGAGACGCGCGCAGTCGGCCGGTCGGCGAGCGGCCGCCGGCCGCGTGCGTCCCACTTTGGACGTGGCTTCTCTGACGTGCCGGCACTGCAGTGACATTGGCAGGCGGGCATATTTGGCGCCGGCCGGCCGCCAGCGGCCACCCCTTCCAACGGAGGTCACTAGGACTGTGACGTGGATTGGCGGCGTCGCCAGCTGCCGAGGCAGTCTGACAGACATCGACAGCAAATCCATTGACCCGGACAACGGGTCACCGGGGATGAATGGCAAACCCCTGTCCGCATTATTTCCATTTACAGATGTCGACAAATATAGATGACTAATTAGACTTGTTCGGACTCCGGAACAAGTCTAATTACGAACGACATGTAACGAATGTAACGAATCTGGTATTAGGTAACAAGATCCAGCCAACAAACTAAGAGACACATCATTGCAGTCATCGGTAACATTTACAATCGAATGCCTATATTGACAGACGATTGTCAGTGCTGCGGGACACCTGCATGAGTTATTTGGAAAGGTATGTCGAAATGTCACTTGAAAGGACCTCAGGAACAAAGTTTCGAAGTCCTGACGTAGGTGCATGATATTATGAATGAATCTAAAATGACGTCTTGGGTTAAGTAATGATCAAAATGAACTGTGTCATAGTTCATCTGCCAAACAAACTTACTCCAGACATGAATATGAACGGCGTACCCGTTATTTATTACTACTTGGCTCTCGAATTTGACAGGCCATCTATAACTAGATACTATTTAACGCATCTGAAGGCACCGAAGCGAGTGGATTCCCCCAAACCTAAGGCGTGCCTTTAACACCCATGAAATTGTCCTATGTAATTGGGAAATTAGTCTCTGAATAATTGGCCGCCAGCCAAATGCCGTCGTGGTATCTGCCCTCAGCCATTCAACCAGTTGTAGCTTCAGTCCATGCCATACAGAAGCGACGGAACGCATAAGTGAACTGTACCATCTTATGATGACGCTAATGTTGATTTTTGTAGGCTATCGGGTAAGGTAACCAGCTTCCAATGCGGCGTCCAGCTACAGACCTTTTTTAATCGTAATGATCATCTGTGCCATGCATACATGTCTTTACCAAATTAGCCAGCCCAAAAATGCGGATACGCGATGTCTATACTTGGCCACTGGTAACGCGTCAACTTCCACACCGCGTTCCATCCTATGTCATGCTACATGAAGCGTCTCATCTCTCGGTTGGGAAGAGTGAGCCGCCACCCTGCCCTATGTCCATGTGGGTCAGGAATACTGGCGCCTACAGTGCAACGTTAATCGATGAGGGCGCCACCCGCCGGCTTCAGCCCTCCGCGACCTCTCCCTCACGCACCAGAGCGGAGATGGTAGTCGCGAACGTTGCACGCACGTGCGCTCAGCCGCTCAATGAATGGAGTGCTGGTTGCTCAGTCAGATGCGAGAGTGAGGGAGTTGCATCAGGCTTGGGGATGAGAGAGTTGCATCATAAAGTGTACGTCGGTAGAAGATAGGAAATGGTCAATCCGAGACGAGTAGCCAGCGTGCACTGAAAACAGTTTAACCCAAGGCTGGCGAGTAAACCGGTGTTTTACGGGTACCCCTATCCGCAACCATTTTTAACCACCCTCCCAGGAGTACAGTAAGGTCCCATTGCAGTGTAGTCGTCCCTGCTTTCAGCGGACTTGTTCGCTGACAGCGGTTATATCCGCTCAGAACAAGTACGACTACACCGCAATGGGACCTAGCACTACTCCTGGGGGGGGGGGGGGGTGGTTAAAAATGGTTGCGGATAGGGGTACCCGCAAAACACCGGTTTACTCGCGGGCCTTGGGTTAAATTGTTTTCAGTGTGGTGAATTATGTCACTCGGCCGAGGCTCTGTCCACTCCTGGAGCTTTGTCACACACTACAGTGATGTCGGTAATTCTGTCAAACCAGAGTCATTCTGCAGAAATACTACTGGCTCCGTCATATCCGAGCCCCTCTCATGACATTCCTCCGGTCTTTTCAGTTGGAGTCCGAATACTTCACAGACACTCCTATTTTCTCCGACTGTCAGCCGTTCCTTTCGCCGGGACTGTCGAAATGGCCGCCATTCCGTCACGACTGCGATGATTTTGCCGGAATGCTGGTGGCTCCCGTGCTCTACCAACAGGGGAGGAAGAGCGAGGGGAGCCATGTTCGGGTCGGATACCCGCCGGCTTCATTAGCGGCCGCGGTGCTCGAGGGTGTTTGCCCACCGAGGTAGCTCAAGTGCGCGCCGTCGATAGGGGCCGCTGCCGGGCTGCCGAGCCGTTGCGGGCCGTACTTCCGTCATCGGAGGCGGCAGACACCCTGACCCCGCTGGGCTTATAGGAGAGGAACACCAGAAGGTGACTGCTGCCGTTGCAGAGCACCTCACACGCTATTGTTAACCCTCGCCCCGTTGGGGGGGGGGCCATTTTGGCCCCCCCTGTGGTTTTTCCTGAATAGCAAGAAAACGGCGGCGCGCAGCGCCGCCAAATTTTCAGTACCTTCCCGGGCATCAATTTGACACCTTCACACAAAATTTCAAGTCTTAGGTCACCTTAGGTCAGGAGTTATTGAGGTCAAACTGAGGTCATGTTCGAGCAAAAATGAGCAAAAAACATGCAATCTTGAAACGCTCACCAAATCTACAGTTATCAAGCAATTTTAAAGTTCTTTATATGGTCTAGTAGACAAAAAGCAGCGCTACAAAACTGCTATCTCGGATTTTCAAAATTTTGGGTTTTTGACCCCCAAAAATTCAAAAAATTGATTTTTTTAGAAAAACTAACAAAAAATCCAAAATTTTTCCGAATTTCGAAAAAACCGGAATATATGTGATAGTCCCTGCGCTCTTCTATATACATAGCAAATTTCAGATCGATATCTCGTTTTTTGGCCAAGTTATAGCAAAAAAACTGTTCAAAAATGATGACGTCAAATTTTGGAACTCAATTTTTAGCGATTCTAGACCACGTACGGCAAAACAAAGACCACCATTGAACTCCCCGTGACGAGCTGCATCGATTCGATACCCATTTTATGCAAAAATATCAACTTTGAAATTTGACGTAATTTGACCTGACCTTGACCTGACCTTGACCTGACCTTGACCAAAACGTGACCTAGGCTGGCCCCAAAGGCTGCCTGACCCACATAATCGCATTTGTCATGTGAAATGGACCATAAAACATGTATCACACGACACTTTCATATTGTGACCCCCCAGTGACCTGACCTCTGTGACCTGACCTGGTATCAGTGACCTCAAATAGCAAAATATGTGTTTGAAGAACATTTCCCCATCGATGATTTTCAATGAAATGCATTTTACTCGATTTTACAACGCATTTCTTGAAATGCCTATAAACGGTGAAAATTGGACCTTTGACCTGACCTGTGACGTCATCGGTTTGACCTAGGTCAATAAAATTGGGTCACAAGGTAGTTCCCTGATAGGGCTATCCAAAACCGTTTGCCGCTTGTCGCTAGGTTGCGTGGTTCTCGAGATCTTAGGGGGGGGGGGGCCAAAATGCCCCCCCCCCCAACGGGGCGCGTTGCTCGGCAGAGCCCAACGGGGCGCGGGTTAATAAGCCGAAGTTTTGAAACGACTGTTTCACAGCTGGATGCATGGGGTTCGCACCATGGGTCTCTCGACTGTGTAACTAATTTAGGCGAGCCAAATGCACTTCCAGTTGCATTTAGTTTTTAGGGTCACATGCTACCTTCGATTTTCAATGCAAGTCGCCAATATGCAAGTAACTGTAAGCCATAAAGAGTACCCAGGAATGCTGAACTATGCACATTCCACATCGCTCATGGCCAAAGGGTAACCGGGCCACCGTTGCTACGTGCCATACCACTTCAACATCTATCTCCATTAGCTGCCCTTGACGTATAAAAATAGCAGCATGCGTACTTCTGACACCCTTTATAAATATGACAATGGTAAAAATAAAGATAGATACGACACGTGTCAATGCTGTGAAACCATGGACCACTGACTAGAAACTCGTGGACGCAATGTTCTGCATCGCCTTCTCAAAGATCCGATCATGTTGACCCATGGAAAGACGCCAGTCCCACAGATCTTGGTCGGCCCGCTGCAGCCGGTCCGATGGCGGCGACTGCAGCTGGCTGGGGCAGCTCAGACCGGGGGGCGGGGCTCCCCGAAGGGGCTCCGGTGACGTCATAGGACGGTAACGATCCGGCGTGTCGGCTCGCAGTGCCCCCCTCCCCTCCCCCGCCCCCGACCCCCGGCGAGCCGGCGGCAGCAGCCGTAAACATTGTACACCGCCGACCAATTAGCGATGGAGCTGTACCGGTATCAGCGGTACACGCCGGTCAGGGACAGGAGCCGCCTACAACCGCCAGCCAGAGAGCAGTCGGATAGCTCGCTATTGTTATTGAAAGAGGAGGCGACGAACCGACAGAAGGGCAACATGGAGGAAGTCGAGCCATCGAGCCAGCCAGCACGTTCTTACATTCAAAGACAACGGAATGCCGTCTCCATTGCGAAAGAAAACTAGCTATACCTACTGCTAAAAGGAAATCAGTCTTGGTACCTAAAAGAATGAACCGAAATATCCAGTAGCGGCGGAACACTTTCAATTAAGGGGGGGGGGGCACTGCCGACGTTTGGTCCCATTCTTTCTATGCAACGCCCATAGGGCTTATGTTAAAATGCCAAAATCAAAGGGGGGCACGGTGCCCCGTTGCCCTCCCCGTTCCGCCGCCTATGGAAATATCCATTGACATATTCGAGGTTACATCCATATCAAGACGTTCCTCTAGAATCTGATGAACCACCAAAGTAACGACCACTGCACCCTTGTCGCCGACACTATGTGTTCGGCAGGCCGAGCAATTACATCTATACGCAGCAGAACGGGTCGCTGGGGCTGCGCGCGCGCCACCGCTCGATAGCACTGGCGAATATTGCCACAGGACAATCGCCGGCCAGACAGTGCATGAAGCAGCCGACCGGCGGCCGTCCATGGAATATTTATCGGCCGCCGCTGGCCGCCGGTTACGGTCGGTGCTCCAAAGCCGCGCGCCGACGCCCGGCGGTCGTGACTGGGACATGGCACAGGCATTGCCGCGCGCCGGGCCAGGGTGGTACAGAAATAATAAAGGCGAACGCAGAAAACCGGAGAACGTGTCACACGCGAGAAAAGGATAAAAGGTGATGCATTCGCTTTTTATGCTGCGATTATGCAACAAAAATATTTCATTATTTTAGCTGTCATTGATCTTTTTATGATTACAACTTGTCGAGGTCGACTAACTAGTGATGGAGCTGCCTCGCTCTACATAGAAGTGGTTGATCATGTGTATGGGTTCGCTGCGTCAAATCATTCTTGAAAGTGTGAGGCTGTTTTGTCCTTTCTGTTGAATGTTCTTTATCGTGGCGCAACGGCTTGCGACAGTGAGAATACTGCACCGCCCGACAGTAGTGTAATGCGGCACAGCATCAAAACCGCTGCGGTGACTCGCATCTAAGTTTTACCGGCACACTCTGATTTGCTCCAGCAAAGTCTATCGTGATTAATCGTTTCACGTTCTCCGGACTCCCCTCAATGAACGAGGTACTCAAGATTGACCACGGGCCCTCCCCACTCCCCCTGTTGTGCTGTTTTCACCCACCTGGGGCGGACGGAGGCCGCTGTTAGGAGCTGCTCTGTCGCGGAGGCGGACGGTGCTGCAGCAGCGTGGTCTCCTCGTCCGGCGACGACTCGGCGCTGCGCGAGCTGGGCGCGTGGTTGGCGGCGCCGCGCACCATCTGCGCGCCGCACAGACACACCTCGCCGTGCGCCGGTGAGAGCAGCGCCACCGTGTTGTACAGACAGCCGGCGTTGGCGCAGCGCAGCGCGCCGGGCCGCCGCCGCGCCGAGTCCGTCTCGGCGCGGCAGCAGTCGGCGCGGCGCGGCGCTGCCGCCGGGGGCGACGCGTCTGCCTCCACTCCGCTGTCGGTCACCAGGGTGGCGTCCAGCAGCTTCTCGGTCTCCGGGTCGGCGCGCACCTCCGTCTTCTTCAGGATGGACTTCTTCTTCTCGGGGCTGCGGTGCCGGGTGTCGGCGACGTCGCCGGAGAGGGAGCTGCGACTGCCGTACTTTCCTGCGGCGCAGAGGGCGGCTGTCAGTGGCGCTGGTTTACTATACGAGCTCTGAGGAACGGCAGTGACAGTGAATAGAGGCGAGGCAGCGCCGGACAGTTGGCACGTCGATTGCCTAAAAAAAAAAAAATACTTGAAGTGGGCCTGAATTCAGTTGCTGTTAACGCATACGGATATTTCAATTATCACTCAGGACTCAGCACTTGTGATTCACTTGTTACTTGGCATACTTGATTGATTAACGACAGATTAATAACCTATTTAACACTTCTGAATATCTAGATGTTATCTAAAGCCAATCGGCTTCAGCTTCCCAAGATTTACCATCGAATAAGCAATACCTTCCGTTTCCGCTACTTACATGCACGTCAATATTTTCACAAACTATAAAAATGGGGCATTTGAGTGACGAATAGGGCCATCCAATGTCCATATCTGTGATTCTAGCTGCATCTATCTTACACTTCAGTGTGACTAATGAGTCTAGAAATACATTTCATTAAACTACCTAGCCATAAATACGATGGCTTCTTGGTCTAACACCAAGAACCGTTCTAGATCTATCTCTATTCTTTGAATCGGCTTAAAGTAGAGAACACCGCTACTATAGCTATGTTGCTAGCGTTCGGTATGCCTCTGTGTATGCTCTACATTACAGTAACTAGTAGCCTACTATCAGATGCTTATATTGGCTATATAATATATCTATTAATGGATACCATTCATTAGAAATTTCTAATCCGATGACTAGAAAACTAAAAAATGAACTACATAGGTAAGTATTTTAAACTCTACAATGGTCATAAGGATGAAGCAAACAGAAGAATGACCTTTACGAAGATCTTTTGTATAACACACGAGCAGAACTGTGGTGGCATCTTATCGACTCACTACAGTCGTTAATCGCTCATTCCATACAGCTATGGTTTATCCGTTCTACAATTATTTTTGCTAGAACATTCTTTCTAAACGTCTGGATACCAGTAAAATACTTACATTCCTCATAACCAGAGGTAAAATACTGAGAATGATTATGTGTTAGTAGAACTTTCCTGTAATCACACTCCAATCCTAGGCATTTTTTTCCTTTCCAACAAAGTCATGACATGGTATCCATCTTATTGCAATCCACACAACTGTGTGTCATCACTGCATTGTTTTCAGTGAGCCGCCTTACACACACCAGGCAACTTTTACATTTATGTACCGTTTATATTGCAAGCTACCTGATAAAGAACGCACTTGATAGAGGTCAAACCCCAGCTACTGACCATACGCTTGTCTAATTTTGATCAATTGTCGTCAAGTGGGCTAAATTCAAATTACCCGAATGTAGCTCGCAGCGTTCAAACTTCTTCAAATTTGCAATAATACCTTTTTTAAAACGGCAGTGTCTTTCTTTGCCGGAAACATGCCAATGACAATTATATAGTTCGACTTAAATAAATTTCACTTTATCTGGCGAAAATAACACTGCTTAAACATACAAACATTTGAATGGCGTAAGCGAACAGGTGTTACGCTAATGCGTAATTATAGTATTATAACCTAGACGGTATCATACATAGATGAATGATTTTCAGCCGCGCACCACATAGCACACATACATTATTAACACGCATTATCACATTCTACACACCGGTTTTCTAGTGACGAGCGACATCATAACAACAACCATTCACAAACATTCAGGACAGTGATCATCCATCAGGAACTACGAACAATCACGACACACTACTACTGATACAGAAACGAGTTGGCAAAACTGAAAATACACATATAGAATATGCGTAGAATGCGAGGCAGCATGCAGGAAGCATGAACGGGTGCGAAGGAAGGTATTCGACTACAAACTCGGTAACAAATGAAACCAAGGGAGCTGCTCACAGCTGGGCTGTTTCATCGTCTTAACGAGGCGAGACAGTCAGCTGTCACTGCGCAGCGAACGTCGACACGGCGCCAAGTTTGCCAATAACTTATGCTCCGTTCGTATACAAGTTGAAGTAAATAAAGAAGCTGTCTGGACACAAAGAGACGGTTGCTAAACCCAGTTTTCCATGCATTCTAGCGATAACTTTGATTCCGTAACAAATTTAATAAACAGAAAGCTAGCTGCAGTTATAATAGAAAAGAACACTAATTATACATAAAACGAAACTTGACGAAGCATCAAGCTCCGCAACAACCGTTAGGCAAGCTTCTTTCAGAGCCTCTGGTTTCATTTAGCCACACTTCAATGGTCAGGAGGTGAAATAACTCGAATCAATTGACTTTTCAAGACGGTCCTAACCACAATTCAAACATTTTTACCATCTCTGAATGAAGCTTTGCCGAAGGCAAAACATAGTTTTGAAAGGCGCAGTACAAAACAGGCTCAATAAGAGGAAAGATTCCCTGGGCTTAGTCCTCTATGTGGGTTCCACATAGTCCACGGACGCCATCGATGATACAGCGAACGAAATGAGCTCGTAAAACTGAACGGTAAACAAACGATCGGAATATCTGCCACAGGACGGATGTCTGTGTGATCAATGCGTTGGCTCTACTTCACCAAAAATAACCGGCGCAAATAAAATGACTCAGAGCTGCGGCTTCTCTGCAGCAAAATAAGGAAATACTACCCATAAGTGGATGGTAGATATCTTTGAACGATTCCAGCTTGCTTATCGCATTTTTCACCTATCAGAAATTGCTTACGTTTCCTTACAAATATACTCTGATAGTTTATGCTTAACCCGCGCCCCGCTGGGGGGGGGGCAGAATCTGCCCCCCCTCCCGTTTTTCGCCAAGAACTTCTAAACGCGTTACGCCAGCGACGTCAAACTTTCAGTACCTTATCATACATCAATTTGACACGTTCCCTGAAAATTTGAACGAAAACCCTTGGAAAATTTTTGAGAAATTGACGTTTTAGTGACGTCATGTTCGCCATTTTCGCCTCAAAAACGGCAAAATTTCAAACGCCGCTAACATCTTCATTTTTAAAGGAATCAAGACGTAACAAAAAAGGTTATACGTGATTCCACGTTGTCTATCAAATGGCTATCTCGGTTTTTGAAAATTTTGGATTTTGGCCCAAAATTTTTCAAAAAACTGATTTTTTTGAAAAAATAGTTATAAAATCCAAAATTTTAAGTGTATCGAAAAAAACGGAATATATGTCAGAGAAGTGGTCAATGTGCATCTACATACCAATTTTCAGAAGAATCGGTTCAAAAATGTGGGAGTTATTCAAAATTTTATGACGTCACGACACACAAAATTTTTGAAAAATGATTTTTTTTTTGGAAGTTCTAGACCTCGTACGGAAACAAAAATAGCACCATTCGATTCGCCGTGAAAAACTGCATCAGATAGACACCTTTTTGGGCCTTAACAACCAACTTCAAAATTTGACCTCACTTGACCTGACCTTGACCTGACCTCGACCTGAAATTCATCCAGAGGTGGTCCATATCACTTATTGAGTGTGCCTATTGAATTCTATGAGTAAAATGAACCATAAAACATGTGTCGCACATGCCCTTTTCTATATTTTGTTTTTGGTGACCTGACCTGACCTGACCTGACCTTGACCTTGACCTTTGAATGACATTGTATGCAATGAATATTGTCTTGGTAGTCTAAGAACACGTTTTGGGCAATCAGTCTCAGTCCATTCTTCGGCAACTACGGTGCAAGGCCGATACCGTAGAAACTTGCATTTTGTACCCTTGACCTGACCTTGACCTGACCTCTGACCTACTTAAGCAAAAAAATTTGGGCTCTTAAGATCCGCCTTGTTGAGAGCTTTCGATTGCCGTTTTCCCCGTCTTTCTACGACCATCGGTTCGGAAGTTAGACAGGGGGGGGGGCAGAATCTGCCCCCCCCAGCAGGGCGCGTATGGCTGAATAGCCCAGCGGGGCGCGGGTTAAAACTCCTGCAATTTAGTGAACTTTTAAAACATGTATCGCAAAACATTGTACCAAACAAAGTGTTTGCATACTTAGGAGGTGTATGAGCTGACCGGTCGGTGTCATCCTGGAAGCAGTCGGCATATCAGAGGCAGTCGGTGAGTGAGTAAGATATGAGGTGAGTGAAAAGGTGAGTGAGTGAGTGAGTGAGTGAGTGAGTGAGTGAGTGAGCTGTGCATGTCCGGGCGGACGACGGCCACCCGGCGCGTGGGCAGACGGCGGTGGGGCGGACAGCGCCACAGAGCCAGAAAAGCCAGAGACAAGAGAAAAAGAGAGAAGTCGAGACCAACAGAACGAGAGCAGAGGCGCGCGCGGCCGCCAGCCCCGGCTGGCGGACAGACTGTGGTGAAGGGCCGCGGTGAACACAATAAACCAAACGGAGCTGCGCGCGCGGCGACCGCAGATAGCCGATCAGATAGCCAACCAAGGCCGCAGGAGCGGGCACCAACGCACCAACACAGGAAAACGGCGCACGCGCGCGCGCGGAGCCAGTCCGAGCAAAGCCCAAGGAACCTCTCCTTACCGGCGCGGGCCAGGCGGGCGGACGTGCCCAACAGTTTGATGGCAGAGGAAATACCTCGGGCGGCCGAGATGTGCGGCTTTCGCCAGCGTTCGGCCGTCTCCGGGTCCCGCCGAGCGCCGAGCACGCCGGCTACGGCCACCTTGGGGTCCGGCTGGTAGAGAGGTCACAGCGGTTAGTCGGCGTTAGATGTGCAGGGGTTTGAGCGGCGAGTGGGCGGCAGAAGCGAGGCAGAGTCATGGAGATTAGTGATGACGAGAAGGGAAGCCGGGAAAGGAGGCGAACCAGGCCACTTGGATGGTAGTGGTGACAAGGAAGTAAGCAAGAGATAGTCACCTTCATGATGGCTGTGAACATTCATGGGCGAGATTTGCCAGAGAACCGCACAGTTCAAAATATATGAAAACAAAAATCGAGCTAATTGTGGATGTTCAATGTATTTTTACACACGCACACTAAATCCAGTATATCAACGCCCACATACCTTCCGTACAGATTTAATCAGCATACGCATTCATAAATTCTTATACACACATACATGTCCCGTAACTAATGCAGCATATGCATTCCATAGCGTCGGCTTATGGAGGGCCGGGGTGCGCTGTTCGGGGGTCAGCGGCGAGGTCAGTCGATACGACCGGCCGGGGGGTGGAGGACCGCCACTTGGGACGGCCCGCAGCCGGGAATTGGCCCGAATAATTAATGCAGTTGGGTTATTCGACCCAGGCGGCGCGTGACTGCGACGTTCGAGCACCGGCGGCCGCCCCACCGAGGACGGATACAGCGGGACAGCAGCGGCAGGAGCCGGAAGGCACAGACACAACGCGGAGGAACTAGGGTGCGCGAAAGGGCTCCACTGACGGCTAAGAAATTCATCTGGAAAGAAAATGTAAGACCTAAAGGGCTTTGTGACACTGAAGCGACACGTTATCCAACATATGAATATTCACAAGGGAAGGTACTTTTGTAGGCGAGCCATTTAGCGTTTAGAAGTCGCCTTAGCCTTTTGGACACTAGTCGGGAGCAAGGTGAATGATTTGGCCCTGTCAGCCAAGTAAAACTGATTAGGATTAACGAGGTGCTAATTGTTGGCACGAGACGGAAGGCAAATACTCACTTGTCGAAGACAATTGTGAAACAGAAGAACAATGGTGCTCCTAATTTTGTTCAAACAATAAGTCCTTGATTCTTTGATTTTGTTAACGACTTTAGCATGAACTGTTTCAGATATCTACGCTTCTTTTTCACAACTTCTGATAAATAAGTAGCAATCGGAATGTGTAACGTACGAATGTGTAACGTACAAATAATATTAGACAAGTTATTTTCACAACGAAATCGTCAACTTTCTTTGAAAAAAGTAGCTACTGGATACACCAGGGCCCATAGCTTATAAGCCACTTGCATTGTATCCATGTGACCAGTGATATATTTAGAGCAGTCCATCGCCACCGCCCGTGGGTCATTAACTTCCATCAGTGCGTCATGTGCCGTGTGGCCTTCCTAATAAGCCACATGGACTCGTCCTAAGGCCGAGCACGCACACGCACGGCCTAATTGCTGGTGGCCGGCCGCCGGCGAGGCGCATGGCACCATGGTCCGACATCAAATATGGATGTCGCTCCTATTAATCGTCCAAGGCTAGAGTGTGGATACCGGCGGAGGGCCAGGAACTCTAGAACATCGAATTTGAAGGAGTGAGGAAAAGGAAACCGCCATTGGGTGCGTACAACCTTCCTGTTTCGATATAGAGGTGTTTGAGGTAACTGGCGGAGTCACACGCGGCGCCCGAAATCGACAAAAATGTTGCGTTTTTTCGAGAATAAAAGTAAAAACGAATATTAGTAAAAAATGCTTTTAACTGTTCAGCAGGGCGTTAGAAAACGAAACCTAGAAATTGGAAAAGCTTTTTGGGGGTATGTCCCCTCCTCGCAGCGTCCAAGACCGCCTTTCTGGATCCGCCAGTGCTTGGGGTTGACTTTCTCAGTGGTGGTCTCGCATGATGAACTGCTGATTTCATAGTTGCTAGCATGGGATTATTTACGTGTCATTCGGTTAGTCGCTATGATAAGGAGTTACTATGAAGAGTTATAAGGAGTCTTATATTTGTTTGCAGGGTTGAATACAACAGAGGTTTAGTCAAGGGAACAAGCTTGACGATCACCAATCCAAACAGTGCAGTTGCACCTGTCTAAAAAGGTCAGTCTCAACTGTTTACTCTGTCACGTAACGGCTCTAGACAAAATACCAAACAACGGTAGGACTAATATCGTGTCAATACGAGCATGGGGGACCCGAGGCACGCACAGATATAACAAAATATGTAGATGTCTTTGGAGGGTGCCTATCAGAAAAACGTCAAATTGCATGCCCATTTGACCTCCCCTGTCAACCCTAACCCCTTTCTGCTCTCCCCCCCCCCCGTCCAGTCATGACAAACCTCCTGGAAGCGAGCGCGCCGGTGTTTGAGCAGCGGCGAGCCCTGCTGGCTGACGCCGCTCTCCGCCGGGTCGCCGGCGCTGGCGATGCGCGGTCGGCGCCGCGGCGAGGCGCGCGGGCTGTCGCGGCGCACATCGCCGTCCAGCGGGTTGACGTAGAGGTTGCTGTCGGCCGTCAGGTCGCCCTCCGAGGGGAACGGGTGCGTGGGGCAGCTGGTGAAGGTGTCACTGCTCTCCAGACTGAGCAGGTCCAGGTTGGTTTGTGAGAGCGCCTGGAGCTCGATGGGTGCGGCGGCGGCTCGGCTCGGCTCGGAGCTCTGACGGCGCGGGCCGCCGAGCGGCTCCAGGAAATCCTGCGGTGGGACGGCGGTCAGCGACTCGCACAGGTCACCGAGGGCACGGGTCACGGGCGCAGGTCAACAAGGTCACGGTAGGGGTCAGAAGGGCACACATATATCACCAAGGTCACAGGTCACGCCCACAGGTCACCGAGGTCACAATAGGGGCCAGGGGGCACGCACAAGTCACGAAGTCACGGGTCAGGACAGAACGGCACACATAGGTCACATGTCGGTGCAGAAAGGCGCGCAAAGGTCACCAACGTCACAGATCGAGGCAGGGGTTAACAAAAACACCAAACAGCCAGAAATCAAAGAAGTGGCCAGTACGATCTTAGCAAAAGTTATACGCAGAGATGACGTAAGATATACGCTAAAACAGAAGTCACATGTGCGGTATGAATATGATTGGAACAAGGATTACTCTGGGTTCAGTGTGTGGTGGTGCACCTCAAATCATCACGCAGTCCACTGTCTAAGTTGAAAGGCGGCCTGATCCCCTCCCCTTTTCATTAATGTTTTTCATCAGGTGTTGGATATAACAGGCATGACGATCAACTTGGGCAACGCTTCATGTATTTTCTACGCATTATAGGTGTGCTATACATGCATGCCATGTTATGAAAAAAATGTGGCGTAATTTTTTTTTTTACTTTTACGTGACGCAGTAATGCAAAATTTTAAAGTCTTTTAGGAAATGTTATCCACAAATGATCTGAGAGTAAAATATCTTGATTTACTTTGCTGCCTATCACAATCCGAAATACGAGCTACTTGATTCAGGAAGCGCTGAGTTCCGGATGTAATTCATCGGGCTGGATCCGGGTCGTCCGCGGAAGCAGCTCCTTCAGCTGACAGTATCTCGGCCCGCTAGACGCCTCAGTGCGCCCGCCGCCCGTTCCAATCAACAGCTAATAGATGGGCCGCGATAAAGCTCTGGCTAGAGGCTCACCACACCGCCAAAGACCAAAGCACTTGCACAGGTCCGGGATAGCAAGACAATTCGGTGTCATTTCGGCCGGTATCTTTCTACGCAAGGAAAACGATTATTATTCCGCCAATTCCGGACACTGCCTGGGAGAAGCAAACGCCATCAATGTCCTGCCCTCTCCCTTGTCCCCACCAGTGAACCACAAGACAATGAATTTCGGGGAAAGTGACGTCGATTCATTTGGCACGACATCTTTATGACATCTCTATAAGTGCCTGTCTGGCCCTCCTTACCGGAACTGCCATTTCGACTTTGGCAGAGAGTCACTCGCAAATCACCACTCGCCTGACACTAATGCTTAGTGAATTAACAACGTATCAGCGAGACGAAATATATGAAATCCTGATGTCTCAGCCGCGTTTGTGGCAAAAAGTAAGCGTGCCCCGGCCACAGTTTCCAAAAATAATGGCATTTAGGCACCTGTCACACAGAAAACGAACACGTCCGCTAATTCCTGCATTGTTTGCTCTTTTGTTTCATGCAAAAATATTGAGCTGAAGTGCTGCACTTCGGTACTGCAATCACAATGTTCATGGTTTGTCAAAGTGAATAATATTTTGGAAGCTGCTTATCTGGTAATTTCTACGAACAGCACTACCTTTAGATAAACTTATTGGAAAATGAGAGTGTAATGCCCACTATTTTCGACAATGATGATGCTCTTATTGCGTATTTATGACAACAACATGCAATCGTTAAGTCGCAACCCGTATATATGTAGACGTGGAATGTCCATTCATCCACATCTGCCGCCCACCCTGGCGACCTACGCAATCAAAGGAGACGCACGTCCGCCCACTGGCATCGTATTTAAACAGATAGCAGTCAGTGACAGCGGCTGCCGTCCTCCCGCGCCCCACCCACCGAGGGAGCCCCTCCCCACCCCGCGACCCCCGTGTCGACAGCGACGATCTGTCAGGCGACACGCCCACACCGCGCCGGGGTCTCCGGCAGGCGGCGCCACCGGCGTGCTCATCCGTCACCGGCCCGTGTGCCGCCGAATATCGGCCATTAATTCCGTGTCGGCCCGTCACGGCACTCCATTGATTGTCTGACGGAGGCGGCACTGTCCGGAGGGAGGCCTGTCCGGCGCAGCTGTCACATGACCAGCAGGCTGTCCGGCCGGACAGGCTCACGGCAGTGGTGCAGCCTGGACCGAACAGTGGACAGTCTCAGGAGTCATGGACTGTCGGGCCGAAAAGTCTGACAGCAAGGACAGCAGAGATATTGGAAACTAAACCTCTCCTCTCTTCTTCAAGGTTCATGTTCATCCCCATTATCAACAGTAGACGATTCCTGTGACAGAAATCGTTATCCGTTTCATACGGTCACGTGCTAATTAAACACAACCTAATACTTCGGTGAACTGAGCTAAGCCACCCTATCGTAGCGGTGCACTTGCGAAATTAATAACCACTTAAATTTAGGAGGCCGGCGACAAAGGCTGCGCCACACGGTCGTAGGACAGGTCATTTTCCGCCGCATCCAGCTCTGTTGTCAGTGAGCAAACCGATACCGACGAGTAACGCTGGGGTGTGAACGGACTTTTCACGGCGTGTCGGGCACCTGTCTGTTGGGGGGCACACGCGATATGGCGGCGACACTTTCGTCATACCACTCCGACATTTGAAGTGAATCATATTTCTGGGTGACGTAACGATCCATAGCATCGCCATCCACAAAGAGAAGATTTAATCAACTTTGACACGAATTTCGTTTGATCAGTGGGAATAGCACTGGCCCTAATAATTGCACCCATAGTTAACGCACAATTACCATGGGATGAGTCATTTCCAAGCAATATTTTTTTCAGCACCCAAATAACCGAGCAAACGTTAGGCCAAGTTAACATAAAGTTGTAAGATGCCTAACCAACTACCTTCTCAATTCATTACCTAGCCTTTTAAATTATTGATGCATAGGACAATGTCCAGGTGTCTCCATCAGTCATCACTCTAGATTCATGTTTGCTGCACTCCTAATGGGTTGTAAACAGTTATAGGGAGCTCTATCTACGGAAGCGTGAGGGTTCAGTCTGGCAGTAAAAAGTCTTATTTAATCAGACATCTACCAATAACAACCACAACCTTTACCGCCTGCGACATTTAGTCTCGAAAATAAGCGAACAGTTGAAAATGGTCATTTCAGAAATGTTATGGAATAAGGCACCAATTATTTACTGTTTTAATCTTAATTGCACTGTTCTTCTTATACAAACAAAACATTCTTTTTTAAGACCGAAGATACATTGTAAATCTATGTCTTTATATAATTTTACGTTTTACTGAAATAACTCTTATTTGAGATTGCTACTTAAAGGTGACATGCCATCTCTGATGACAGGTATTTAACAGTATATTACCAAAATTTCAACCATTCACTCATGCAGAGTGCGCATGGTCGGGGCCGAATCAGGTTTAAACAGTGCCTACCTACATACATGTCTTTATGGGACGAATGCAATTTATGCCGCCGCGCCCAGATAAGCTTAAACTAACTCAGTTATGTATATAATCACTCGATAGTTAATGCCCAGAGCAGAACAACTTGTTCGTTTATGGCCCATTTAAATGTTATATGAATCCCTACGAAGACCCAGCCTCGTAAATCCTCGAGTGCCTGGCTTTAGCTATGCGGGACAGTATAACTTCAGGCGCTCACTACCAGTGCCATCTATTGGCAGCAATGAAAGCGATACTAACGGTGTCTTTCTAGGTGGACTGGCTTGATTGTGCGTTGGCTGAGCAAGGAAAGGACACGGGAAGAGACCGTTTTTCAATAAGAATTACAAAGAGTCAGGCACACCGTCACACTAAACACGCTATAGGTCTGGGAAAGACTAACAAGAATGGTGCGGACAAGCAATTAGTGAGATCTATCACCGGCCGACTAATGACGTCATCAGCACGGCGTCTTACCGCAATGACGTCATCAGCACAGTGGCTTACCGTGTGAGCGTGTGGCCCTCTTGGCCGGGAGCGCCTGTGTGCACCGTCGTCGTCCGTCGAACTTACTGAGTTGCGTGACTACGCTTACCTGAGACGAAGGTGAATATCAAAATATTGAGCATTTATTCGGTTTTCTGTTGCAGAGGGATCTGCTCGCCGTTGTGGGCGGCCGCGCTGTCTGCCACGTGGCGAGCCTGCAGCGCCTGCCAGCAGCACGGGGTCGGCTCCTGTCGGCTCCTGAGCGCACCCAGACCGCTAACCGATTGCACGAGATCCGAGCCAGAGAAAGAGAGGGAGTCGGGCGGGCGGGCCGCCACCGCGACCGCCAGTTAGTAGTCGTGGACACACACCAACTAAGCGCCAGAGACAGAGGAGAGAGGAGGGGAGCAAGAGAAAGAGCGCCGGAGTGGTCTCGGCCGGCGGTGCGCCGTGGAGCCGCCCGAGCGGATGCCATGCAACGGGTTAGCCGCACAGGAGCAGACAGGTCCCGACCGCGCGCCGCTACCGCCGCCCTGGCGGTGACCCCCGCAACCAGCCTCGGGCCGGTGACCGGCCACCGCCCGAGGCGCAGACCCGAGGGGTTCGTTTAGAAGTGATGGCAGTGACGGAGGGTGAAAACGAAAGCAGCAGGCAGATGGTCAAACTCAACATATGTCAAATGTGTGATTAACATGCAACTGATCAAAATGGTCACGCAGTTATTTATATAAACAAACCAATATAAATCATGAGATATTATTTATAATCAACGTAAAAAATGAAACCATTTAAAATTAATGTTTACCGCGTAAATCAAAACTCAAAGGACATAACACACAACGACTTATTCAAATTGAAACACCATAGAAAAAATAACTAAGCCCAGAAACCTTTGTGTGAACCTTCCACCAATGTACCGTGTCCCGGCATCCACAGTGGGTGACTGGCACGTCCCTGTGATATCTTCCTCGCCCTGTGACCACCGGAGGAGTTGCGGGGCGTGGCCAAAGTCCTCGGGGGCGTGGCCAGAGTGAGGGAGGACACGCTACTGACCGTAACAGGCGACGTCCGACTCGGCCGGCAAGGCTGGAGATGACTCGACGATGACGACCGTTTCCAAGAGAGGCGGAGAGAACCAGAGAGAAGAAGGGTGGGCAGAGCGAGAGGAGGGAGACAAACAGGGGTCAAGCTGTGAAATAGATGCAGGAAGACCAGGCAACTAGGCGACAGAGCGGGCGCATGCAGCCAGCGGCTAACTGGGCGACGGAGGCGGGCGTGCGTGCGAGGCAACTCTACTCTCGTGCGGGACGGAAGCAGTCGTCTGGCTCGGATCTAACGCGTCTCATGCTGTCTCATGACTGTCTATCGGGCGGCAGTGACGTCGCTCGCTAGTATACGCTCTAGTTACTCGCTAGTACGCTACACTCGGTGCCATCTCTCCCTCCCGCCCTCCTCTTCCCGATGGACGGACCCCTACCGTGCTGCGCTTTCTATAACCTCGCGGGCGCCGCGTCACCTACAAGACGCTCCGGCGCGCGCTTACAGTTGACTGAGAGCCTCAGTCCATGCCAGCTAGGTAGACCGACTCCAGCACATACTAGTCAATCTATCTATATCGTTCGCTCTCGACTACGACACCATCTGAGCTGCGTCCGATACACGACGGCGGGCGGTCCGCGCTGGTCTACAGCGCGGAGCCCGAGACATGCCGGGAGGCGGATTTACAATCGACCGTGCCTCTCCCTCCCCTTAGCTGCACGGACCGATCGGGGGCTTCTAACAGCAGCGGCTGCGACAGGCACCCTCTGGACCCCGGCGACTGTCGGGGCGGCGCGCACACTGTTCTCCAATCAGGCAGAGTACACTCAGTCACAGCGACCCGGCGGCTAACACGGAACGTTACAACGGCAGCAGCAACAACGGCCAAACGACAGAGACGCGCCGGCCCGGTACCTTGCCGCAGGTGCAAAAGCAACACTCTACGGACACGCGCTTGGCCGCCCGTCGCTCCTTGCTAGGCCTGTCCTTGGACAATCGTGTCCAATTTCGCAGCGTGACCGCCTAGGAAAAAGACGCAAAGTGGTCCCAGTTGGAGTGGAAACCTCCTTCAGACAGTATTGAACAAGCCAGGCGCTGTGTAAAAATCGATATGAAAGCTTAAGATAGCCTGAGAATGTGACATGCTCAGTCGTGATTTGAAAAAGTTGCGTTTCACAGCCAAGGAAGGCTTGCCGCAGCGAAGAATTTCAGGCGGAAGCTATCGAGTAAAAAGTTTACAAAGCAAGATGAGCCTAAACAAATATGATGTCTTACAAAGTTAACACACAGAGATAAAATTTCATCATTTCTGAGCATCCGTGCCGACACATTTTATAAATGCGTCACTGACTGGCCCCATCATTTTTTTCTCCAACCCTAAACACCCTCACCTCCGAATCACAATTCCCCCCCCCCCCCGCCATCGATCATCGAACACCTGTCTGCCCGGACGGGTGCCCGGAACGCGTGCCCCCCTTTCCCGACGACCCTGGCCGCCTCACTCACCGCTGGGCGGGGGGTGTTGAGCGCGTTGGCCGCACCATCGGCCGCCGTCTCTGCAGGCTCGGTACTCAGCTCCGCCGCATGCGGCGTGCCGGGCGTCACCAGCGCGCCCTGACTGTTCTTCCTGTAACACGGTCACATCAAACGACCCAATGAGAAAGGGAAGATGGGCAGAGGCGTCACTAGCGATCCCTGGCTACTCTTCCTGCAACACGGCCAGGGCAAATGACCCAATCAGAAAGGAAAGACACAGGCAGAAAGACGGTGGTGTCACTAGCGATCCCTGGCTGTTCTTCCTGCAACATTTAGAGCAAATGGCCGCTTCAGACAAAAGACATGCACAAGCGCGTCGTCAGTATTTTTGGCTGTTCTTCATGTAACAATGTCGGACCAAACGACCTTCTCAGACAAGCAAAAATAAAGCAATACTTTTCGCGAGAAAAGAAATAACTGATAATGTGTGCATCGATACATTACTTTATGCAATGCATTAGATCTATTCCGATGGTGACAGAAGCGCAGGTAGGTAAAACAAAATAAAAGCGTAAGTAACAAGTATCCCCAAAAGAAATGAATGCAGTTTCCTATAGCAGAAGTAACCTCGAATAATACCTACAGCCTTCGATGATCAGCAATTCACATAAGCCAAAATGCATGGTACAGCATCGTAAGCATTCGTTATTGACTTCGATGGAATTGCTTAGTGTATCAACTCGACACAAAAGCACGTCAGCCTACATCGTAACCATCAATTGATATTCTGCATTCTACATATATAGGGTGACGATCTGCAAACTCCTGAGTACCTATGGTCCAGCTGACTCCAGCCGAGTATTGACATACAGTCGTCACATGGCTGACCAGAGCTGCTCGCAGACCTTTCCAAACAGGATGTCAATTCGTATCAACAAATACTGCGCTCTCAGACGAGGGAACCAGCTGGCGGGTCCATGGGTTACGGATGACTGACCAACGGCGAACTGTTCCGCATACTCGTATAGCTGCCAGTGTGGTGATACGGCGCACCGCACCTGTGGCTAATTTGTGGTGTAATTAGAATGCAGATGGTGCAGCAAGGTAACTAAGGGAAACAACAGTAGCAAATAGAAACTGTAACTACGAATTTGTAGATTGATAATTTGCAAATTCGGACCGAAGTAATAAGGAGCAGTTACAATGTAGAGGGACGGTTACAACTAGGAGCGGGACAACAGCAACTTTAGCCTGGGTAACTGTGTTCCGCGGACGGGGTAACTGCGGTCCGTGGACGGGGTAACTACAGACACGGACAGGGTAACTGCAGTCCGTGGACGGGGTAACTGTGTTCCGCGGATGGGGTAACTGTGTTCCGCGGACGGGGTAACTGTGTTCCGCGGATGGGGTAACTGTGTTCTGCGGACGGGGTAACTACAGCCACGGACGGGGTAACTGCAGTCCGTGGACGGGTAACTGTGTTCCGCGGATGGGGTAACTGTGTTCCACGGGCGGGGTAACTGTGTTCCGCGGACGGGGTAACTACAGCCGCAGATAGGGTAACTGTGTTACGCGGATGGGGTAACTGTGTTCCGCGGATGGGGTAACTGTGTTCCGCGTATGGGGTAACTGCGGTCCATGGATGGGGTAACTGTGTTCCGCGGATGGGGTAACTGTGTTCCGCGGACGGGGTAACTGTGTTCCGCGGACGGGGTAACTGTGTTCCGCGGACGGGGTAACTGTGTTCCGCGGATGGGGTAACTGTGTTCCGCGGACGGGGTAACTGTGTTCCGTGGACGGGGTAACTGTGTTCCGCGGACGGGGTAACTGTGTTCCGCGGACGGGGTAACTGTGGCCAGAGACACGGTCGCTCGATGGGCCAGTCGGCTCACCGACGCTCGCTATAGGAATTCGATAGCGGGCCGCCAGCTACAGCCGCCGCCGGCGGGCTGACGGACTGGGTACGATGCGCACATACACGGCCGTTCGCCGCCCATTCGCGGGCGGGTGAGACGTCAAGGAACGTCTGATGTGCTAGATCTGACGCAGAAGACTGCAGGGGGAAGGGTTGCTATGGCTTCTCATGGATCGAGGGGAAGGTCAAGGGACAATGGACAGTTGGACACTGCAGCAAGTGCAGATCGGATAGTATTCACAAGAAGAGCGATCTATGACAGTCCCGTGTTCGCATGGTTTAAAAATAGAGATGAATGGGAATTAGCAGGTGCAAAATTTGTTGTTGGAAAGACGGAACAAATGGCTTAGGTAGGTCGGGATTGTCTTACAATAGTTATTTTCTGACAACGGAGCTGTCCGTAACAGAAAAATAAATGATTATTCAGCCAAATGTGCCGGCGGAACTAAAGCAAACCTGGGTGACATCAGCTTCTTCTTCTTCTTCTTCTTCTGCATCCCGCCGCCAGCCCGCTCAGGGGGGCGGCGGCGCAGGCGGGTCGAGCGGCGGCTCGGTCCGCCCGACACCCTCGATGAAGTCGACGACCCTCGCCGCCGGGCCGCCGAGGACGTCGACCAGGCGAGGGTCGACACCCCAGCGGCGGCGGCGGGCCGCCTCATAGGCCGGACAATCGGTCAGCAGGTGCGTCACGCTGTCGGGCTCCCCGCACGCGGGGCATTCGTCGTTGGCTGCCAGGCCAATCTTGTAGAGCGTGTCGCGGGTCAGCGGTGATGTGCCGGTCCTCAGCTGGGACAGCGTCACCGACCCCCAGCGCGCCAGGGAGTCGTGGCCAGGCGTGGGGTCCGGGTGCGGGTGGGCAGCGGTTGTCCTCCGTCGCGACAGCTCCCGGACATGGCGCGTGACGGCGGCCCGCGCACTCGACAGGTCAATCGGTGCGCTATCTTGGTCGCCCGCCGTGGCCTCGCCAGCCAGGCGGTCGGCGGTCTCGTTGCCGTCCAGCCCGGCATGGCCTGGCACCCACTGGAGCACCGTCTCGGTGCCGTTCTCGGCGAGGGTGTTCAGCAGCCTCCAGACCTCGGCGGCCAGAGCCATGGTCTGGCTAGCTGGGCCGCGGCCGAGTAGTTGTAGCCCAGACCTTGAGTCGGTGAGGAGGCGGACCGACTTGATCGATGCCAGCTCCCCGTCCTCCAGGCCGGCCACAGCCGCGAGCGCCTCGCGCATGGCGGTCAGTTCTGCTCTCGGTGACATCAGCTCCGGCCTCCGGGTACAGATTGCATAAACGGTGTGTCAGCAGGACAGACAGATCACATTGCAAGACTCACACCAGCCAGCACGACTCATACACAAGAGGCATGACAATCGTCCACGGGTCAGCAGGGCTGCGGAGTCGATGGATTTACGGCGACTCCGACTCCGACTCCGATTCCGGCTTTCAAAAACCAACTCCGACTCCGACTCCGACTCCGGGCAGAAATGTCGACTCCGATCGACTCCAACTCCCGACTCCGACTCCGCACACCTGGCAGGGCTGCGGAGTCGACAGATTTTCGGTGACTCCGACTCCGACTCCGGCTGGGGTTTCCAATATCGACTCCGACTCCGACTCCGACTCCGGTCACAACTGTCGACTCCGACCGACTCCGACTCCGACTCCGACTCCGACTCCGACTCCGCAGCCCTGCGGGTCAGTATCAGCACCTCCAGCTGGCACAGGAGACAGAGGACGGCACAGAGGACAGAGGACGGGATGAGCGGGCCAGGAGTCGGGCCGGCTGCCAGGCTGCCCAGCTGTCGGGTCATTCCAGCATGGCGCCCGCCGCTGACGGCGCGGCCTTGGAGCTCTCCCCAGCTCGTCGTCGAGCCATCTCAGTCGGTCTCTCTAACAAACTGCAGACACAGCCGACAGACAGAAAATGGGGCCGGCCGAGGACACCGCGGCAGTAAAGTGAGAGCGACGAGACGAGCTCACTTGGCCGGCTATATATAGACAGGGTACGGAGCATGTGAAGTCGTGGGATGTGAAACACATCACGTCCGATTCCCCTTTTATACAGCTAAAAGCTTATCATTCACAGGCCACAAACGCATATTTAGCCATGTTTCGTCATCCCGTCTGGCATTAAACGAAGGCGTATTTTTCTTACTTCGCATATGCAATACGCAACTGCAGCATGCTGTGGTGTTCAGTGAAGAATAGCCTGACGGTAACCCTGTGTTTATATCCAGACTGACAGATGACTGTAGTGGCCTGTGGGCGGCTCACCATCAGCTAAATTACTGATAATAGCTGACCTCAGGGGGTTTCATCGCCCTGACAAAGTGGCTACCAACTACCATTACCTGCATTAGACGATGACTAATAATGAAGCGTGAGGCGCAAAGGATATTTACTGACGGACGGTTACAATTGGGTAACAATCTGTTCAATAGCAGAATAAGGAGAGGTGCTTTTCGTCTCTGGGTATTTCGTTAGTGGACAGACATAAGCTGAAGTATATTCTCTACGTATGTGTATCACGTTGTTCAATAGCTGACAAGCGTCCGTTAGCTCAAGCCCCGGCCGTTTCTCTGTAGGTGTTGCGACCCTCACCTTGCCGTCAATTTGTTGATGACGTGCTCGTGGTTGCGGAAGCAGCCGGTGCCTGTGTCACCCTTGGTGCTGTTGGTGACGCTTCCTTCACCGATGCTCATGTTGTGCCCTGAAGGTAACAGATCAAGGTCAGGTTGGTGACAGCCTAGCAACGCAGAATTACAAGTGCTCCTAAGAACACTACTCAGCACCAAACGGATTGAGGTCAACAAACATGGCTGACGTACGACTGGTCGCTATTTTTAAACACTGGGCTTCCTCGTGACCATTATCCTTGATCGTAACGTTTATTGAAGACGTGGTTCTGGCAATATACTTCAGACCCTCAAAAACTTCTCTGGCGAAGAAGACCAATTCAGACGGATTCGATTTCAGGACTGGAGCCGTTCGGCCGATGGTTTTGTGGTTTCGTCTGCGGAAACTGCTGTGGATGACATAGCGACTCGACATCAATTTACGAGGAGGACCGAGTCGAACTGTTCTGTATGGCCAACTCGTTCCAGCCATGGCTGATGGCTCTCTGCCTGAACAGATATCACTTGAATAAACGACGGCAATACATTAACTGGATGGGATTATGTCAAACGAGAAACAAGCATCGCTCGATACAATGATTGTTAATTGCATATATCAACCATTAATCTCAACTTATGACATTTATAAGAAATTAATCACTTCGCAAATGAGGTACTGCTCTCAGCAAAACAGGCGAAGGAAAAGCCAAAAGGTACGGACTCAGTTGGATCGAACACGTTATGATTGCAATGACATGAATGGGCAAATTGCAAAAGCCACATATGTTCATTGAAGAGACATTAATGGGATATGCATGAATAAATGATTATGAAGTAACATATCAAATGGTAAAATGGTAAAAATGGTAGGCGAGAGTGGGGTATAAGGCGGACCGCTGGGCAAAGCGAACCACCCCTTCTGAAGCCCCAATAAATGGCCCCTTTCAAAAACAAAGATAGCTATTAACAATGCCTTATGTTGGCACGTTTCTTGTCACAGTGGCTCGGCTCTGGGAATAAAAGTTTTCAACCCAGGGCCAGAAATGTGTTATTTTCAATTCCCCTTCTAATTTTAGCATGGAATGTATACCAAAATTAAGTTTAGATACGGAGCTAAGTCAACATCCGCACTACCGTCACAGAAGCAAAATGCTATGCATTTCGGTTTGGCACGAACCCGAAATGGCTCAGCACACTGTGCTGTCGGCAATGCCTACTCAAATGCAGAATTTGAGAGTAAGGTAAAGTGGACCATTAATAAACACACTCGCCCCTTTATCGGAAAGTTCAAAAAAGCGATACGCTAAAATCGAATTCGTTGTAGCTAGCAGTTGAATTAAGCGGACGTAAAAAATGTTTTGGAAGTAAGTGGCTCTTGAGGGAGAAAGAAAAATTGCGGTGGTACACTTTGCCCCACTAGTTTTTTTCGAACTCAAAATGTGTCGTAACGGAGTGAGCGAAGCGAGCTTTCGTATAGATTAACGGAAATTTCTGATGAGCGGCCGGCCGGCCGTGCGGAGGCTTTTGCGAGGCTTACATATATCTCAGCAACCACTTGACCGATTTACATGCGGCAATTTTTGTAGGGTAGCTTCATTCCTTCTACCAAGTATTGGACTATTCCCGATACATGTGGGTGACCCCTTATGCACGTGCCACGTGCAAAACGAAGAGGTGCCAGTTTTGTAACAATTGCAATATCTCAGGAACTAGGCCGATTGAGCTTGAAGTTGGGATGTAGGTAGGCACAAGTTCGCACGTGCAAGGCCCACCCTCTCGCTCGCTCCGTTAGTCGCCCCCAAAGGCGTTATAATCGTGGCAATGTTCCACGAAGAATTAAACCACTTTCCCAAGTATCTAGACAAAGCTCGCCTACATGGAAGTTTGTGCTGAAAGATTAAGCTTACACGTAGGCTGTTTAAACTAACATTTTCACTACCCCTTAGCAGCTATCTGACGCTGTTTCTTAGCTAGTCCGCTTTACCCCACTCTCCCCTAAAATGGTGAAAAGTGGTCAGAATGAAATGGTAAAAAAGATGTGACAGCACGCGGGTAACCATGATAGGATTGATAGAACCAAGGAGATAGCCGGGTTGAAGACTTAACGGACTCATATGATCATAGGATACTGACACATTCGTAGGCCATACAACATTATGATGCGGATTGAACATGCGCTTTTCTTATCAATTTAATTTTCTCTATACAGTGCTTTCAAAAATCGAGTTGAGTGCTAGTTTGTAAAGCACGCTCAGTTTTTCTTTGTTCCATGTATGCAAATAAATCCCATAAAAAGACGCATTGTCGTGAAATTGTTCGTGTTAACACAAATTTATAGCCGTCCCTTTCAGACTTTGTCATTAAATATCTAAGCACTCACGCCGTTGTTCATCAGCGTAGTTACATATTCACGATGGATACCTACTAGCCGTTTTCACGACGGGCTATCCAGCGAATGCACCTGATTTGACCAAATCTGCACCTAATTTCTTTTACAGCAAATATTTTCATTTTATGAATTTATTTCAGTGTTTTAATCGATGATACTCTCTGATAATATGACAAAGCAGCCGTATAAGCAAATAGTGCAGCCCTAGCTGCACCAGATGTGCACCAAATGTGTACCAGATGGCCGTCGTGAAAACGGCTAATATGTAGAATAATATTTAAGGCAATCTCACACTAGGTGCACTTTCTCAATCATGTGCAATGTACAATAGTGTACATCATTCTTCATTCCTTTGTAAGTACTTCTTCCTCGCATATCAACCCTTATAAGGTGGACGCCTTCGCCAGCAGTATACAGTGGCCGACAGTGATTCTCCAAACACCACCACTCGTTCGCGGAACAGACGGCCTGTTCTGTGAACACTGTCAGCAACGTCTACTTGCATTGATCGACAGAGTAACTATGTCGGCCGGCGTGCCAGTACGACGCTTAGCCGATTTTTAATGGTACGCCGACTGACACTGCGTCCGGGACCGGGCACACGGTTGTCATGGCAACCGGCTGACGGCTCGTACACAGAACTCGAACGTGCTCGAACGCCGCCCAGTAAACCCTGGAGACAAGACCGCATATAGGCCTGGAGACAAGCCGGAGCTATGGAGGAGACGCTGCTAGCGCTTTGACTTTGAACGGTGTGGACATATGGTAACATTCCACCAAATGGACTGGGAGAGAAACGTCTACTCGTAGCGCATAGCCCAGCTCTACACGTGTCCATTGCAGCATTTTACGACTTGCTTTATTGCCCGGAAATCAACGGATGCTCCGGTAAAGTTGACTAACTATAGAATATTTTTTACTAATCATCGAATCAGTGACTTATTAGCATTAATTTACTCAAGACAAGCCATAACTTAGCCAGTAGTGGTAGATATGGGCTTTTGGTTGCACCGAAACATTACATTCCTTACATTTGATTGATTGGATGGATGATTTGCTACTAAATTATCTGCAGAATGACGAATTTGACCCCTGGATCCTCAATAGCTGATTAACCTGAATAAAAATAAAATAAAAAGATAATCCATGTCTTATGTTCTACAGCACTGGCGGATCCAGGGGTATTTAGGTCGAATCCCCCCCCCCTCCGTGCAGCACCCAAAATCGATGAAAATTTGCGGTTTGTCGACCATAAAAAGATAATTTAACAACTTTTATGAGGAAAAGTGTGTTAAGCACTGCACAGCAGTGCGTAAGTAACCGAAATCCGATGAATTTTTGGTACATGGAGAAACTTTTTGGGGTATCCCGCACCCCCCCCCCCATAGCGTCCAAGACCGCCTTTCTGGATCCGCCAGTGTCCCATAACATTACGTTGGGAAAAAGCTGGCTGTAATATACCGCCTGGTGCACAATACATTGCTTTGGCCTTCAACATTTCGGGCATGGGAAACATCTTGCACTGTTTTTGTCCGTAGATAACTTTACGATTAACACGCTGACTGCAGCAAATCACGTAAAAGAAATTAAGCGAGTGCATGCGTCTAAAAACGCAGAGCATAACGAGCATAACAGTCATCCCTCACATGTTTTAAGTCAAGCTCTTATCAGATTGGTTGGTATCGATTTCAGCTAGTGCTTGATCAGAGGTGATTAAAGGTCGGAGTTCGGGGGCAGTGGTCAATAGCAGAGTAGGTGCTGACCCAAAGTGCACTTTCGTAGAAAATGATTTTATTGCAACTAAGGGCAATGAGCTCACATCCTCATTCATTCAGTATATGAGCTGAGTATATGTGTTCGTCGTGTGCGTGAGTCGCTATGACAGTTACATTGTCTCTTTATAATAACATGCATGCCTGATCATTAACCCGCGCCCCACTGGGGTCTGCGTATAACACGCCGTACTGGGGGGGGGGGCTCTCCATAGCCCCCCCCTCCTAACTCCGAAACTACTGGGCCAATCATCAAAATTCAAACGGCGTCTGATAGCCCCGGAAAAACTGTCGAGCGAAACTTAATTTCATTGACCTCAAGGTCACCGATGACGTCACAGGTCAGGTCAAAGTAAAAATTACCAGTAAAACGCCTTTTGGGCGAAGAACGAGCGAGCGAGATAGTGAGCCCTGCACGTGCGGAAGGGCGAGAGGGTACTTCCAACGGGCTTGCGCAAAGCACCCTTCTAACCGGTCGCTAGCGGTGTACCAAATTTGAACGCAATCGGCCCAGCCGTTCCTGAGATCTGAAAGCGGCACTCTGCACGTGCGCACGTGCAAACGGGGTCCAAACTGACTTTTGCACGGCACCCTACTAACTGGTCCCCAACCGTGTACCAAATTTGAGCGCAATCGGCCCAGCCGTTCTCGAGATCTAGAAGCGCCCCCTGCACGTGCGCACGTGCAGTAGCACCTTAACCGCAACACATGGGAATGCATTGCCTGGTGGGTGCCTACCTGTATGCCGTTTCAGCGAAATCACCCCAGTAATTACCGAGTTATTAAAATGGGAACAAATTTGACACCTCTTATTGTTGTATTTTGCACGTGCACTGGGGGTGACCCACATGCATCGAGAGTATCCTATTTTTGGTAGAAGGGATGCTGCTACCCTACAAAAATTACCGCAAGTCAATCGCCTAAGCGGCTGCTG